CTTAAAAGTGGCAGAATTTTTGGTTTAGAGGAAAAATAAAAGAACTGCTTACTCAGATAAATGTGTTAGAGGATCTTAAAGCAGTTTTTATCACAATAAATCCAGATTTTATAACTGTTTGTGTGACCAACTCTATTATCATAGCAAGTAGATCAGACAAAACATCATGGAAACAATTACTTATAAGATAATTCTTTGTGTATTGGATTTCATTAAGTTTAGAAATGTATATTTCTGTGTAGGTGCAAAAATCCATGATAAAAACCTATCAGATACAGTAGCAGCCACATAAATTATGATGGAACATTTATTATTTTAACAGACTTTCATTGTCGGTCTTTTAATTGACCTATAAATGTTTGATTTGCTGTTTTGATTAAAAATGGCTATTACGTCTGAAGAAATCTAGGGTAAGTTAGTTATTGGTGGGCTGTAAATTTTGCTAGTAGCTATTAATCCCTGTGTGACTCATTTTGCATTATAAAAAAGGGACCATGATGCTTTATGATCTCAAATGAATGCTAGTTCATGTTTCTGGCACACTTTGGGTCTCTAAAAAAGACACTGCATTGGAATGAAGTTAGTATTTGTTCTTGTTACTGCTAACTACCAGAGAGTGTCACATGCTAAAACCTTTTAGAAATAGTCGATCTGTTTGTTTTCTTAGCTGGCATGCTATCATTGTTGATGGACACAGTGTGGAGGAACTTTGCAAAGCCTTTGGCCAGGCTAAACATCAGCCAACAGCTATCATTGCGAAGACTTTTAAAGGCAAAGGCATATCAGGTAATAAAACATCTATTGCTTTGCATACACATGTGGATATGTGCATGTACGTAGTACTGCAAAAAAGGTGCAAGCATTAAAAAAGTAGAAGTTTATAACATTTCATGCATTAGAAAAAGATTGGTATCCTGTCAGCTCTTTGACTTGATCGTACTGCCATACAATCTGAAAACTCGGAAGTTCACCTTGTTGGTTTTTTTTTTCCCTTTGTTGCCTTTTCTTATGGAGGACATTAGATTGATGCTTTATTGGAAGCAGACAAAGATGTGGCTCTCATTTCTTCACGTTATCCAGCCAAGTGCACTTCCACATTGACTGGGCTTTTACAGATCCCAGTAGGATTTTCTCTGCTGTCAGTTGTGCTTGAGCTGTTACTCTTTAAAAAGTTTTTCCTAGTCTGTAAGATGACAGGAGGCAACATTGGACCGTATAACTTGGTCTTGAAAATGGCCCTAGCAAAAGAGGGCAACCTTCTTGGCTTGTTTTTGATCCCCCGACTCACAGAGATTGCTCTGAGACAGAAAAGGGAATAACTTTGTCACAGGAGCTCTGTGCTGCCTGTATTGCAGATGGTAACTGGATCTGCTCGTTACCAGCCAGGCAGCGTAAATGCATAGGAAATGAGGAGGAATGGTGCTTTTACAGTTCTGCCAAAGCTGCATGAGATGTCATACTGCGTGTTATTTCACATGATCTGATGTGTAATTCATTGAGATACAGGATACAGTAGTTAATTATTTAATAGGTTAGCAGCTGTTTGAATTTTGGAGTTTGTGGTGCCTCTAAGATCCTTTGGTAGTTTTCACATGGTGTGAAACTTACTTAAATGTCATCATCTAGGGGACAGATATGTACCTATGCATTTGAGCAATAGCATGCAGAAAGTCTCTCAAACTCTTTATACTTCTCGACAGCATTAGTGCTAAGAAAATTATTTTTGTTCTTGCAAGTGAGGTGTGTGAGGTGAGTGGAGTAAATACGTATTCAGTGTGTCAGGGGTTGCCATGATTCTGTTCAGCTCTAGCTTTTAGCAGCACTCTGTAAATTTGCCTTTCTGACCAGATAAATATTAATAACAAGAGTGAATGCCTTCATTCCTTTTCATTGAGTAAGCAAGCAAAATTCAATATTCTTAGCGAGTTACTCAGTGAAAAGCAGCGTATCAGCCAGAGAGGTAATTTTGCTGTTAGTGCCGAGTGCACAAAGATAAGAGTCATCAGAAGCTATTAAAATAAAGCTGTAAAACTTGAGGTCTTGTTTGAATTAGACAACTTGGTTAACTGATGTTTGAAACTTAGCCGAGTTTGTTTATTTACGCCTAACTGTTGAAATTCCACGTTAACTGTTCACACTGATTTACAGTTTACTTCTTGCCACACTTATGGACCAGGTCTTGTAAAAGTTTTAAATTTTAAGATATAATTTAAAAAACCGTTTCAGTAGAAGACACGGTAATTTTGTCACTACTTGGAATATATGTAATTTAACTATTTCTCTGATGTATTTAGGCATGTCTGTCTTAATGCAGTTGAATACTATTGTAATTGTTTACTGTCGGAATAATAAAGAAGTTCTTCACTGGACAGCTATACTAGACTGTCATACTCCACTGCACTTTTATCTGGCAAAATCTGTAGCTAAACATGTACAGGTTTTATATTTTTCTTGTTTGTAATATAATTTTACATATGCAGGTGTTGAAGATAAGGAAAGCTGGCATGGAAAGCCACTTCCAAAAAACATGGCCGAACAAGTCATTCAGGAAATAGATGACAAAATCCAAAATAAGAAAAAGCTTTCTCCAGCTCTCCCAGAAGAAGATACACCTGTAGTAAATATTAGAAACATTAAGATGCCATCTCCACCAACTTACAAAGTTGGAGAAAAGGTACTCCCTTCCTTTTTCACTGTTTGCCAGATGTCTTCAAAGTGTGGGATGTTGAATTCCCGTGATTGAAAACCAACTTCTTAAAAATTTCCGAGCTGCATCGGCAGGGTGATGCTCATTTCAGCACAGACGTGTGTCCTGGTGCCTCACTGTATTTTTCTGTTTGTTTACTCTTCTGTGTGCCATTGTTCACCTATGTACTTTGACACTGCTAACATTTAAAATGGTTTTGGTTGTATTTTGTTGTTTGTTTTTGGAGGTTTTAGTTGTATGTGCATGCACTCATGGAAGAGCAAGACAATTATTTAAAAGAAGCTTCTGGAAACAGTTATAACAGTACTGCTATATTTTTCTTTTCCCAGTGGGCTACCCGCAAAGCTTATGGTGTTGCACTTGCAAAACTGGGCCACGCTAATGATCGAGTGATTGCTTTGGATGGAGACACAAAGAACTCCACCTTCTCAGAGCTTTTTAAGAAAGAACATCCCAGTCGCTACATTGAATGCTACATTGCTGAACAGAACATGGTAACTGGTCTCTTGGTTTTATGAATTACTGGTATTGCACAACAGTATCCAAGACCGTTCAGGCCGAGTCTTCAGAAAATGGAGTTTTAATATTTCCTTTACACCAGTGTATTCATGGATATTTATTTTGACTAGCTTACTTCTTAGGGAAAAACTAGGCTGTGGCAAAAACTTACAACTGTAATACAACAGAAGCTCTAATAATTCCTTCCTAAATCCCTCACTTTTTTCTTTTTGTTTTGTATTGTCTGCATTTCAGCAGAACATAAGGAAATGGCAAAATGTAAATAACAGCAATACTTCCCACAGTGTGATTTGTAGAGATTTAACTATAAAAAGACTTCATAGGGTTTGGTGGTTTGGTTTGTTTGTTTTCTTTACAGGAAATGAAATGTCACGATGTGTCGAAGCGTTCTGTGCTAGCCTGGGCTATAAAGATGAGGACAGAGAAACAGCGAATAAATTTAGCCTGATGACATTTGTGTAGAAAGAACTAAAATAATTTGATAACTCATCTGTTTAACTGAGTCCTCAGTTGCCACCTGTGTGGGTTTGCTGAAGCAAATGAAATTGAAACACAAATTCAGGCAGAAATTTCTTGTTGATTTTTGAATTATTTATAACCAAAGAACCCATGGACTGTCTCTTGCAAATTCCATTCTAGGGCAGTTTCATGAGCTTGAGTCAAGCAGTAGAAGAAATTTGCCATGAAGAGCAGACCAGTTTCTGTGTGAAATACATGTATGTAGTTATAGCAATAAACAATTTAAGGATCTTGTTCTGATTTCCATCTTGCTGTAGAAGGGCTCTTTTAGTACATATCAATCCATATAACACAGGTAGATCCATTCTCTCTTGGTAATGATAATTTTTGTCTGCTGGAGTTAGTAAAACCATGTCCTTTAGACCGAAAGTTTCAGCTTTTGAGCCAGGAAAAGAAAGAGGAGGGCATAAGTCTTAGAACTCTGTGAATGGCTGCTTGGAGCAGATGAAGAAAAGAAGTTACCAGTAAGGATCAACAACAGCTAGCAGTGGAGGCAAGGAGCAGAGGAGATGCTGGAGGATAGAGACTGGGAGAGGGAGTTGCCTCCTTTCTTTTTTGAAAGGGCCAACAATTAGGAGCAGGACTGGACGGAGATTTTTAATCTGCATTGAGAGCTTCTTGCTAAAGTTTTACAGTAGGAAGTCCTACAGGTGATCTTGTGGAAACGATGAATAAATGAGTAATTCACTGTGTCTGCCTCTTTTCAGGTGAGCATTGCAGTTGGCTGTGCCACTCGTGACAGAAGTGTTGCTTTTGCCAGCACCTTTGCTACCTTCTTCACACGGGCGTTTGACCAGATCCGTATGGCTGCCATCTCCGAGAGTAACATCAATCTCTGTGGGTCACACTGTGGTGTTTCAATTGGTAAGGGTAGCCTTGGCTTATCTATCAGCAGTTCCCATCCATTTAGTGATAAGTGTGTAGCAGTCAAACTGATAGTGCTTTTTGATGGTATAACAATGGCAGCATTTATAGGAAGAAGTTGTATTTGCAGTTCACTTCTATCAGACATATTGTATTTGGAAAGAATGAGAATGATTTCAAGACCTCATCAGTTTATCTGCTTTTTTCCTCTCTTTTATCAGTTCAGCCTGATAAAAATAGGACTT